CTCACTCTCCCCCTCCCCATACCTCTCTCTCTCTATCTCCCTCTCACTCTCCCCCCCTCCCCCTCCCTCAGTCTCCCTCTCCCCATACCTCTCTCTCTCTATCTCCCTCTCACTCTCTCTCCCCCTCCCTCACTCTCCCCCTCCCCATACCTCTCTCCCTCTATCTCCCTCTCACTCTCTCTCCCCCTTCCCTCTCTCTCCCCCTTCCCTCACTCTCCCCCTCCCTCACTCTCCCCCTCCCATACCCCTCTGTCTTCCTGTCCCTCACTCTCTCTCTCTTTCTCTCTGCCTCATTCTCTCTCCCCCTCCTCCCTCACTGTCCCTCCTTCCCCATCACTGTCTGTCTCCCGTTCTCCCTCGCCCTCTCCCTCTCCCCTTCCCCCCTCCCTCCCTCTCTCCCTCGCAGGGGTCCATCATTAGCAGTCCCCGAGTGCCGCCAAGGCCTGTGCCCATCCAAGAGGATTCCACCATGAGGCCTCACCGACAGCTCTCCAACTCTACCTCCTTCCTGGGCTCCCTGTTTGGGAGCAGGCGGGGCAAGCAGGGAGCACACGCACACTTGCTGGCTGGGGGAGGGCAGTCCTCCACCACCTCCTCCTCCTACCAGGCTGCCTACCAGCTCCAGGGCGGGCAATCCGAGGTCCCCTCCAAGATTCAGGTACTGCATGCTCAGTACTGCCAGCCCCCACCACCGTATTATTATCACCATCGCTTCCACTCACAGCCGACCCTGCCCCATGCCAACGTCACCCTCCAGCGCCAGTGCAGGCAGAGACCCAACCTACCACCCCTGCTCCCCCGTGCCCCCATGACCCACACCATTCGTCCTCCAGTCAGCTCTCCCCAGTCACCCCTGGCCCCTCACCAGCTCCCCGCCTACGCTATGGCTCAGTATGGACAGGCACAACAGCACCCAGGAGCAATGCCAGGGCAACTGCAGAAGCAGTACCACCCAGGGGGGCAACACACCCTGCACCATGGAGGGACAGCACCCGCGCAGCACACGCTAGCTGGGCACACCCTCAAGCAGCATCCTCTGGCACACCACACTCTGCAGCACGCCCTGCAGCAGCAACAGCATGCGTTGCAGCAACAGCATGCACAGCAACATGCGTTGCAGCAACAGCATGTGTTGCAGCAACAGCATGCGTTGCAGCAACAGCATGCACAGCAGCATGCATTGCAGCAACATGCACAGCAACAACAGCATGCACAGCAGCATGCATTGCAGCAACAGCATGCACAGCAGCATGCATTGCAGCAGCAACATGCACAGCAGCATGCATTGCAGCAACAGCATGCACAGCAACATGCATTGCAGCAACAGCATGCACAGCAACATGCATTGCAGCAGCAACATGCACAGCAGCATGCATTGCAGCAGCAACATGCACAGCAACACGCACAGCAACAACAGCATGGACTGCCACCCCAGCTCTCCCCTCACTCGCCCCTCTCGCCCCTCACCCCACACTCGCCCCTCACCCCCCTCACACCCCTGACACCCCTCACCCCGCAGTCCCCCCACTCCCCCTACTCACCGCTGCTGCCCCTCTCGCCCCTGCCTCCTCACCCACACCCTCAGCAGACACTGGTCGGGCCCCCGAGCAGTCAGGTCTCCACTGGGGTCAAGGCCAAACCTGCCAACCGAATCAGCACAGTGGTGTGAACGGAGCGGCTCTGGGCGGGGGCTGGCCAGGGACCAAGCTGTGGGGGACTGACGGTGGGGGTGGGGTGAGTGGTTTGAAGCAGGGGCGCGTGGGGAGGTCGGCTGGGCAGGCTTTGAGGGGGCATGGTATTCTTTAACCTCACTCCCTTTGGAGGTTCTGACACCAGCCCCTCTCCCTTCAAAAATGGTGGCATAGCATCAGGAAGCAGGAACCTCAGCTGAATTCTGAGGGTCTCAGGTCTACACAGGCCTGTCCTCTCCTAATTCGGCTTCCTCAAATCTACCCCGGTCTACACAGGCCTGTTCTCTCCTACCCCGGCCTCCTCAAACCTACACCGGCCTCCTCAAATCTACCCCGGTCTACACAGGCCTGTCCTCTCCTACCCCGGTCAATGTAGGCCTGTCGTCTCCTACCCCGGCCTCCTCAAATATACCCCAGTCTACTCAGGCCTCCACAAACTTACCCCAACCTACCCACATTAACCCAGCCACCTCAGGTCTAGCCACCTACCCCTGCCTCTACAAACCTACCCAGCCTACTCAGGTCTACTCACACTTCTCCTGGCCTACTGACACCAACCCCGGCCTACCTGGGCCTAGTCACCCCTACCCTGGGCCTACACACACCAACTCTGGCCTACTCAAGCCTTGTTCGCACTTACCCTGGCCTAGATGTGGAGGTGCCAGTGTTGGACTGGGGTGGACAAGGTCAGAAGTCACACGGCACCAGGTTATGGTCAAATAAACCTGTTGGACTATAACCTGGTGTCGTGCGACTTCTGACCTTACCCTGGCCTACTCACACCAGACCTGCCTGTTCATGCGTACACACACCAACCCTGACCTACTTGGGCCTACTCACACTTATACTGGACTACTCACACCAATGCCGGCCAACTTGGGCCTACCCAAGTCTACTGTCATCGACCCTGGCCTACTTGGACCTACTCACACCTACCCCGGCACACTCACACCTATGCTGGCCCTACTCACAACAACCCAGACCTACTCCCACCTACTGGGCCTACTAGAACTTACTGAGGCCTCTGGGAGCAGGCCTGACTTTGTCCTTAACTCCGGTCTCGATTTCATGCTAATATTCCTCCTTCCCTCCCTCCCTCCCCTTCCCGAGGGAGAAACTCTGGGACTCTTTTCCCCCTCCTTTTTTAATACACAGAAACGCGACAAATTTAAACTGAGAGAGAAACAAAACTCTGATACTGTGTTGCACGAAGGCCCTGGGAGACAAGGGCCTAGGGAAGGGCAGGTACTCTGCCTCATCCTCACAAAACAAAACGTGCCTCGCCAGCCCCATGTTGGAGCTTAACACAAACAAGGAGAGTGAAAGAGAGATTTCTCGCGAGGCTCACGTTTCTTTTTTGGACTGAATGTATATTTAAAGAAGAAAACATATATTTAACTAATTAATATGCGGACTGTATAATTCAGCAAATATATTTATTAAAGTACTTTGCCAAGTTACGAGCTGTTGAAAGGCCGGCTGAGTGAGGGGGTGAGACGGCGCAGAGAGCAGCGGAGGCAGCTGTAGCCGTTCTCAACGGGATGAAATGATGTTGGGGAAGTCAAGATGAGGCATCTCTCTGGGCCTACTCTGGATACCCGTGAGTGTTGTGGGAGCGCAGCGGGAGAGGGAGCACAGGGTCCTGTCCCGTCACCATGTAGCGCAATCTTGAGGTCGGAGCCGCCAAATGCAAGGAGTCAGGCCCACCTCACTGCTGCCCACCCCCTCCACAAACCGTCATGTGTCCACCATTTTCCCCAGGACAGGGACAGCACAGGGTTAGATAGAGAATAAGTCTCCCTCTACACTGTCTGCCCCATCAAACAGTCCCAGGGCAGGGGACAGCACGGGGTTAGGTGCAGAGTAAAGCTCCCTCTACACTGACCCCTCACCACACACTTCCAGAACAGGGACAGCAATGTGTCAGGTACAGAGTAAAAGCTCCCTTTATACTGTCCCCATCAAACACTCCCAGGGCAGGGACAGCACGGGGTTAGATACGGAGTAAGGCTGTCTCTACAGTGTCCCCCGAAAAAACACTCCCAGGACAGGGACAGCATGGGATTAGATATAGAGTAAAGCTCCATCTACACTGTCTCCCCATCAAACACTCCCAGGACAGGGACAGCATGGGGTTAGATACAGAGTAAAGCTCCATCTACACTGTCTCCCCATCAAACACTCCCAGGACAGGGACAGCACGGGGTTAGATACAGAGTAAAGCTCCGTCTACACTGTCTCCCCATCAAACACTCCCAGGACAGGGACAGCATGGGGTTAGATACAGAGTGTAATTGAGGAGTCCAGGTTGCTTTAGATACAAAAAAAACAGATACTTGGATTTGAGTTACAGACTGGAATCTAATCGAGGGGTTCGGGGGGGGTTTATATACAGAATAACAGATACCCCC